GATTTTGAGTTCAAACACTGTACATTAGTAAGGTATTTTGTAATAACTTGGGATTGGATCTTTCTATGTTCGCGTTTATAGGAGGCAGCTGACAATACAGCTGAGATTGGTCTCAATTGGAATGTGTTTACCGCCTCTACGCCCTCGTTTCCTTCTACTGGCTAAATATGAAATTAACTTAATGGTTTTCAAAGTGTCCTCTGATAACTCAGATGGCTTTCCCTTGTCCTTTAATTCTAATAATTTATTTATCGTGTATGAAAACTCACTATATTTACGTCGTACCGTCCTACGGCCTACGGCCTATGTCCAAGTGTTCTTGTCGACAAAATAGTTTTTGCCTATGATGCGAATTGCAACGCAGTTAGCGAGCTGCTTATTTTTAGCGACAGTAAACAACAAAGTAATTTACAAGAGCTTTGTGTTTTAATTTATGGCGACCAATATCAGCTTTAAGCAATTTTAAGAGTTTCAAGTCGGCAGAATTCGGAGACAATTCTTTTATTTTTTGAGCATTTGTTAAATTTATCGACCTAGGCCAGGCCTGCTAGGCTGATTTACCCAATCCTTAGACCCTGGGACATCACCCGGGGAAATTCGTGTACGCGAAGTTGGGCGTAAAGTTGGTGTGGGATTCTACCCGGGGAACTATGGTAATATTTTATAGCAGTAGTGACTGAGAAAGTTTTCTCTATTGTTGAAAAAACAAAACCAAGCTTCAAGCTAGCATGACAACAAAAACTTAAAGTGCTTTAATGACACACAAGCTGGAAATGTTGAACAGATATTATAAGTGTTATTCGAATAAATATTGACGTTATGACTCCAATGAGATCCAGCGAAACAAGCAACATACCGTGCCCTTCATGGTGAAGTCTGTAAGCCTACTGATTAAAATGTAACTTAAATATTTTTTTTCTTGGTTGTGAGGTAAATAAAAAGTACACTTGAATTTAAGTAACTCTTGTTTTGTTTGAAGCAACTGTACAGGAATTAGGATATAATTGCCATCTTAATTTTCGTCACCAAAGAATAGCGTCCCTATTTTTGATATTCGAATGTAGGCAGGTATGTAAATATACAGCATTTGATGGACGGACCTGTATGGGGTGTAGGTGTACATAAAAACATTAGAAACCATTACTGGACTACATATCCCTCTAAACTACGTTTACGTACAAAGGAACGTATCCACCTGCAGGGTTCTGGTTATATTTTTTATCCTTTTGTTAAACATTATGTCATAATCATAATAATATAAAATTGTTATACATCACATATAGCACATCATAATTCTTTATGCATATTTGTCTTGTAAATTTCAGAAATACATACACTTTTTGTTCAAAATACGGGGTTTTTTTTTGTATTTTTGTAACTTATACTATTTTTACACATCAATTTATATTTATAAAGAAATAAACAAAAACCAAAGCACAACAAAAATTACCTGACAATAACAACATTAAAAGCTTTCCCAAATTTCTGAAAGTCAAAATTTGACCACTTTTTTGGCTTTTTCTTTGTTTGTTAAAAACTCACAAGTGACAAGACTTTTAAACTCAGATGTAAACATATTCTCCAAGGATATCTCTCCTAGATTTAGTCTATACATCACTTTACATTTAAATATACAAAAAGTTAAAATTGAAACTAACTCATTTGTCTTCTTATCACAGCTTGCAAGTACGATATCCATCCATTTTACTTTATCAGGCTTCTTTAGGCACAATCGTAACATAATATGGAATTTTTCCAACATGAATCATTTTCTTTACAGTTTAACAGCATATGTTTTTCATTTTCTATTTCGTTACATGCTTCGCAGAAGTCTGTGTTTGACAGGTTCCATATCTTTTACCGACTTTTCGTTGGCAAGATTCTGTGTAATAATTTATAATTAAATTGAGCAACCATTTTAATATGAAGCATTGAGTGTACTTTCTCTTTCCAACAATGTTCCCAGTTAATTGAATTGTTTTGTAATTTATTTTCCCATTTGATTTGAACATTTGGTATGCTATATATTGGTTTTAAAAATGATGTGTAGAATTTTGTTTCTTCAAAATAATGTCATAATTATATTTTGAATAAATCTGATTTAGGCAATTTAACTTTTATAAGAGACCGTGGAATTGCTCTTATTATCTTATCAAACAAAATAATTGGAAACTTCTTGATGAACGTGAAGATTACTATTTAGAGCAGCTAAGGGATCCAGTTGTGCATTTTATCACCAAAGCATGAAAGTTGGCACAAAATATCTTTGATATGTGTAGCTTAAAAAAAGTTGTGTCAAGATTCTGACCCCTGCTATGGCCACCATTTTAAATTCAAAGTGGCCACCTACTAAAAATCTAGATCCATATATCTTATTGATATATTGTTTTTCATTATCATATTATAACTGCATATATATATACAAAAAATATCATAAATTATATTGTATCTTATATCTTTTGACAAACATTTACTTGTTCAAAACAGTTTATTTCAAGTCTTTCAGTACATATTTTAGTTGTCCCATACCATACTTTATTATTATGTTTTTGTTTTGTTTGTCAGCCTGTCACGCCAAAATTGGTCCGGGCAAAAAAATGTCCGGCAGACAGGTTTTGGCCCCGGACCAAATTTTTTTGACAACCTATAAGACGTTCAACAATAATATATTATGGATTTAACACGTTCGTTACCACACCCCCTTACGTAATTGCCATAATATTACCTCACCTAAAGTTATTAGGTGAGGTGAGAAAATTTAAAGAATAGAAACCGCTAGATACTGGAAAAGGCAAATGGGTATTCTTTACATCCAACGCCCAATGTAGGTCACGTGTGATTTATTTATTCATTTGAACATACACCTTTGAATCGGTGGAACTCAATATCAATTGGTGCATTCGTACAAACAAAAACAAAAGAAAGGTAAAATTTAAAAAACAAAATAAATAACAATCGACTGTATATAATATTACAAAATTAAAGAAAGTTAGAAAAATAACATATGAAATTAGATAAGATCACATTTTACGTCACATTTCATACTCAGAAATACTTTACAGGTCAACTGTAGGTCTAAAGTAAATAACTAACCTACAAAATAACAAACAACAAAGCTAAGCTACGTTACCGGCATTCCTTCTGAATGAAAAGGTCAGAGATAACCGCAGCCACTGCCTTTTCTACAAAACGGTAGACAGCTTGAAGAGATGACTAACAAACCAAGTCAGTGGTGCGTAACCAACAGAAATACGATAGGGCCAGGGCCATGGGGGAAGGGGGGTTGGCGTCGGAGGGAAAACCACAATTCGTCTGGGAGAGAAAATGTATATGTATAAGCCTTTGAAACCCCTAAATTGTCATATTTTTTGGAGGGTTCGCCCTCCCCGGAACTCTTTCGAGAGATTAAAGTTGTGAAAGGTAACATTTTAGGAGAAAATATGCATGGTGTACCGTATTTAATCGATTTTATTAGTCTACTAATAATAGGCCTATATTTATTATTATTATTAATAATTCCATCAGGTGACAATTCCATTGATTACTATCATGGTTCCTAACATTTAATTCCGGTTTAAGTGAATTATAAAAGCAGTAGCCTAGTAATAGGCCTAATAATAATAATAATATTGTTATTGTTATTATTATTGTTACTATTTTTATTATTGTTATTGTTACTATTATTATTATTATTATTATTATTATTATTATTATTATTATTACTAGGCCTATTACTAGGCTACTGCTTTTATAATTCACTTAAACCGGAATTAAATGTTAGGAACCATGGTTTAATAAATGGAATTGTCACCTGATGGAATTTTAGCCCCATGATGTTATATGTAATTGTGCGTAGGAGTAGGCCTATTGATTCATCAATCATATTCAGATTTTGTTTTCATTGATGTTTGATACCGGTACCTGTTTATGCAACTGTTACCCCTGGGCGTTGAATTCGAGCACACTATAACCACGCCTATACTTTTATAGTGAGGTGTACCCGGGCTGCACCCGTCTGGATTTTTCTTTAATCAGGTATACCTGTACGTAATCTTACTAAATATAAGAAATTTGTTCATGCGTACCTACTGATCCTATAAAAAGTTGAAAACTTTCTTCATTTCATCAGTCATTAGAATTTACTCTTCAAGACATCACATTGCAGTAATAACATTAGGCCTATTCTGTGCTTAAATTGCATTGAATACTTTAGGCTGAAGCAAACTACGCGTTCAAAATGACCGGCACTAGTATTCTGACGACCGTCATTTTTACGGCTGTTCTAAGTGAGTAGGTTTTTATTCTTATGGGTCAGACAACTTTATTCAGTGGCGTCGCCAGCGTTCGAAATCTGGGTGGGGAAGTGAGGTCAGTGGCAGCGCCAGCGTTTGAAATCTAGGGCGAGGGAGTGAGGGGCAAGTTAAAATTTTAGGGGGAAATATGCTTGGGTGGTCCGAAGTGGGCATGGTCGGGCGTCGCTCAAAGTGAAGGGATTCTTAGAATCGGATCGATAACATTTTGGGCACTCGTGGTATAGACATCCCATAAATTAAAATATGATTTTGGGTTCGAAAGATGCCCCATCGACTCTACACGGTCCGAATTGTTGCTCACCCCCGTTACGTGCGTGATTAATATGTATTCCCCTTTGTTTTGACTCGTAACTTAACCACTCCATACTAGCAAATGAATGATTATCTATAGTCTGATAACCCGAAGGTGGGAATATAGCTATAGTGTTTGGTTGTAAAAAATTCCTAGCAAACACATAATTGCAGGCTGAAGCTATGGTAATTAAACCGTTAGAGAGTGGATCTACTCCTTCTGTATCCTTACCATCGTTAAGCGTGGTAACTTGCTTAAAAATATGTCTAAACGATAAACAACATCGCCTTAACCCTCTGGATACCGTATTCTTTTGTAGTGCAAACCCATATCTACATCACTTATGCAGTAATCAATGAGTTCTTGTCTGAGGTTAAATACTTCGTTTTGTTTCGTTTTTGTTGTGATTGTACCAAGCAAGAAAATAACCCCTGGCCGATTCTGACATCTTATCGAGATCGCACATAGATACATCGGGGTAAGAACCAACATAATCTTTATTTTCGGTCGTATTGAACCTATGGTGAAAGTATCCCTTCTTTAATTCTTTGATACCGAACGTTTTAGATAATTTTGATAGGGGCATAGGTAGGAAATAAAGCGAATCAATAAATCGAATCGATGTATCCTTAACTTTGATCGAAATTAATTTCCCACCCCTAGAACAACTTCCGGAATAACACCGTAAGAGTGTAAGTATTGCATGATGAAGTAACTATCGTACCCTTGAAAATTAGAAGCAATACATGTTACATTTTGGTTATACGGATACTGTTTCAATAAGTATTCGCAAAATTGATAGCATGAATCCTCACCGTAGAAAATGTTGGTTTTATCCCCGCAAATTTCGCATTGATCAGAATCATTATCATCGTTAATACAATTTAGACAGCTTTTTTAAAAGACGCATAAGTTAGGATGGTGAACCCCCGTTTCTATAGTCTTCTTATCTACCTTGTTAGTTTTGTTTTTTTTCAACCACCTTTTTCATGTAACAGAGATGACCCGCCTCTACCCTCGTCATACAAACTCTACATACATATTACCTGCATTTATGACCCTTTTAATACAGCGATTACAAGTTTTACAAAGTTTCTTTGAATCGCAAAGGGTTGCTCTATCTGGTTTAGCAGTTCTATGATTATCAAAACATTTTTGATTTTTAAATTAACGTAAGCACTCATTACATTTGACGACGGTAGAGGGGTCTATAGAAGGAATGCAATCGTGCTAACATCGAAATACCCGTTACAATGGCTTAGGAGCAGCAAACGTTTTCATCGTTCTCGTCTTTAATTCGAATCAAACATTGGGCACCCACTACAGCCTTATCTAAGGCCTTCTTAAAATGATGACCACCACCAATAGGCATGAATATGTAAATTGTTAAATTGTAAGTCATCCCCTACTAAACTGTTCATGTGAGATTGAAGGACTTTAAAATAGCCGCAAAAATTATTTCAGGAGTTATTCGTTCCCTAAATGGTAAGGAAATTTGTAAATCTAAACCATTTTCTCTAATAACGCACCTGACCATATCATGTGGTTGAACATTTATCAAAATACTATCTAAAACATATTCAAGAATTCTATTAAACAATGGCAAAATTTCAATAAATCTCACATTATCTAAACCTATTAATGTAATCAAGTGGTCACTCGCTAACATGTTAAATTTTTTATTGAATTTTTCATTCAATTTCCGAATAACGCATAGCTCTCCTAGGTCTATATCGTTGAAATCCTTTTCATCGTCCTCGTCGCTATGCTCTGATTCAGTATCTCGTATTATCTTAGTACCTCGATCAGGCTGAAATACAAGAAACAAAAATTGAAATACAATATAAATCAATTTTTAAAATCATGACAAATTAGGCAAAGCAGAAACTTACCGTAACTTACCAATTTTTTAGCGTGTTTCCCAGATCCGTATTGTACTATAACGTCTTCATCATCATGGTAGTTTTCATAGTCTTCCTGTTCACCTTCATACAACATCTTCTTATGTTTACCTAGGCCGTGCTGTCGTTTCACGCTGTTATTATCATCTTCGATTTCTACGTCTTCCTGTTCATCATCTTCAAACATCATTTTCTTATGTTTACCTTGGCCGTGCTGCCGTCTCGCGTTGTTCTTTATTTATTAATTTACTATGCTTTCCTAATCTTAAACGTCCATGTCTCTGAATTTCAAATACAATCTGTTCACACGCAATGCGTAATGTTATTATCGGTATCATTGTCTTCCTCTTCTTCATCAAGATCGTTTAAAAAGTCAAACTGGAATAACATTAAAAAAAATTATACAAAGAATATTCGATTGGAAGTTTTATAGACAAAAAAATAAAAAAAATAATAACAATGTGTTACTTACCAATTCATCTTCATAAAATTCGTTATCTAACTGTTCTTCTACAGCTTCTTCGTTTAATCTAATTAAATCGGCTGTAAAATTAAACTGAAAAAAACTATAAAAAAAAAAAAACAACATTCTATTCAGTATTCAAAATAATTGTAACACGAAACAAAAACTAAAAAATTAAAAAGGAAATGAGAACTATTTGATAACTTACCAGTTCATCCACATCATTCGCCATCTCTAACAGAAAACCCCTGTTAACATCGGGATCCCAGTTAGAAAGGTCTTGTTAATCGGCAAAATTTTTGTTCATCATCTTCGAGGATAGATATTCGTAAAGTAAACACTAAATTTTATGTAGTTGAAACTAATTGTATTATATGTTCTTAGTCTAAATTTCTTCTAAATTTATACACTACAGGGTTAAAGGTATTACATAACATCAGAAGCGGGTTATTCAAACCTGTTGAAATCATCGAGTCACCAACGGTCACTGATATCTCTGAACCAATAGAAACCGTTCTTTACATGAGCCAATAGAAATCGTCAATTGCACCAAATTATATTCACCCGGCCTATTCAAACTAGTCACTAAATTTACAGTCGCTAAACTGTCACCGATAATCCCCTAACCTGACCCTTTTGTTTTCAAATTTAATACCCTCATTATTTCAATGGTCAAGAAGATTCTTTTGTGACTGGAAATCCAGCACTGGCAAACTTATCTCCCTTTTGTCTCAATTTTCAACACCCTCTCACTGTTACCAATTTCTAAAGAACACACAATAGTGGACTATAAATTTTAACGAAACATGACAAACCTAACACGTCACGCTACACATCGCCACTTAATTAATCCCACCTTTTGTTTTTCAATATTTCAATAAACCCTCAAATACCCACCCCCACCCCTTTCGTATGCTTCAACCATTATGAGTTAAATAAAATTAATAAAAATTATGAATAAATAATTATTAATTATGATGACGTAATATTCTATTGTTGGGCTAGACTCCTATACTC